GAAACCCAACTGCTAGGTCCGCGTGACTAGCAAGGTTGGGTTTCAACCAACCCAGCCATTCTGGTTGCGCAAAACCCAACTTTGCTGGTTTCGTTGAAACCCAGCCTTATTGGGTTTCGATGCTGGGTTCATGTTTTTTCATTCTTCTTTTGATTTTCATTTTCAATTCTTGATAAATTTGAGAGTTGATTTACAATTTGATTGCATTTTTGTTGGAATTGGATTAGAGTTTGATTAATATTGTTCATTGAAGGATTAATTTGATTTGGTGAGATCTACTAGCTTGATGAACTCAGTGGCTTTAATGAAACCAGTAACTGGGTTCGATGGTAGAGAACTCAAATTTTGCTCTGGAGCATGCTAGGGTTCATAGTTTTTTTTTTGCAGGTTTTAATGAGTTTGATTTGTGAGAATATGAACTCTCAATGTCATAGCATTTAACCTTTTATAGGACGACCAGCAGCTAGGTTTCGACAAACCCAGTCGATCTGGGTAGGAAAGAAAGAAAGAAAGAGAAAGAAAGGAGGGGAAGAAGAGGGATTGGGAGGTGAGGGTAATAATGTAATTTTATTTTTTTAATTAAAATATAAATATTTATCTACGTGACATTTTTATTTATTTATATAATGTAATTATAATTATATAATTACCATGCCATAAAAAAAAATTAAGAGAAAATGTCAAATGGAATTATTTAACTGTCACATCATGTTTAACTGGCGGAAGGTCCAAAATTGTGCAATTTTTAAAGTTAAAAGATAAAAAAAATGAAAAAAATAATTTAAGGACCAAAAAAGTGCAAGCCTATAAAGTTGAGGAATCAAATTTAGCATTTAACCTTTTTTTTTTTTCTTTTCCGCGTGAGGGAGGGTGACATGGAGGATGTCATTAAGTCCATGTAAGCATCTTTTACATGTTGGCATATCCACATCAGCTGTTCCAATTAAGTTAACATGCCATGTGAGCAAAAATTAACGGAGGGACTAAAAAAGAGATGGATTTTAAAATTTAAGGATCAAAAAGGGGATTTTTTCGGTACAGGAACCAAAAATGGGCTTTTTCCTATAATAGAGGGACAAAAAAAGGCATTTAACCAACGTATTTTAAATACAAGAAATCATAGTCACGAAGATGGTCAATTAGCTCATTTTGATATTGCTGTTAGATTTTTGTTTAACGTTGTGCTTATGTATGAAGACATGGTTTGCCATGGAGTAACTTTGTATTTCTATTAATATATTAATATGTTAGTTTGATTGATATTTTAAAAAAAAAAAAGTAAGAGATTTTGAGAGTTTGAGACATAAGCATATTTAGGGTGGATGAAGGGATGAAAAATGATTTTTCGAATTGTGCGACTCTAAATAAATAAATAATAGTTAAAAAGAAAAAATTCCCATTACTCATTCCCACTTCCCTTAGTTTCTGATGCTCACTCCTTTTTTTACAAAACCCTAGCCAATCAAAATGAAGATACCAAAGACCAAATCTATGATAGGCACTATATGGACAAAGAAATAGCCAATGAGGTGGCTTGATAATAAAGACTTCAAGATTTTAAATCGGAGATCTCAAGTTTGAATTTTTAGTCAAGTGAGAAGGGATTGGAGAAAAAGAATACTATCCCCTCTTATATAGCTTATCATTAAATGAACCAAAAAAAAAAAAAAAACCATGGGGAAAAAAAAAAAAAAAACAAAAAAGAAAATCATAATTTTTATTGGTACATCAGATGATAAATTATACAATAGGGAATAACAATTTTCACCCATCTCATGGTTTGAATTCGAGATCTTTAACTTAGAATCTTAAGTTATTAACCATTTGAGACACCCTTTAAGGGTAAAAAGCCATAATTATTAGATAGACTCACAAAGGTTTTAAAGCTATATCTATAGTAATAGGCAATAAATGCTCATATAAATCAAACACAAATTAAATTTGAAACTTATTTAATGACAAATTAATTAATATAAACATCCAACTAAGCAAAGAAAAATTGTTGGGTGTTTATAGAAATTATTGGCTAAGATAGTGGCTAACAAGTTAAGGTTGGTGATGTCAAATATTATTAGTGAACTCAATTTGCTTTTATTGGAGGAAGACAATTGGTGGATAGCCTTCTTTTATTGAATGAGGTTGTGGATGAGGTGAAAAAAAGTAGATAGGAAAGTTATGATCGTCTAGATTGGTCTTTTTTGGACTAGATGATAGGGAAGATGGGGTTTAGAGATAGATGGAAAGGGTGGATTATGGAATGTCTGTCTATGATTACAATATCAGTTTTGGTTAACAGAAGTCGAACTCAAGAGTTTGAAGTGAGTAAGGGTTTGAGGTAGGGAGGTTTATTATCATCACTTTTGTTCATATGGGTAGGAGAAGGTCAAAATGGGATGGTAAAAATGGTAGAGGGGGAGGGTTTGTTTCAAGAGATAGTGGTATGAGGAGTGGACTTAGCAATTTATTTGCTTCAATTTGTAGATGATACAATCATTATGGGAAAGACAAGTATAGAAAATATTTAGGTTGTAAAGACTATTCTCAGATGGTTTGAATTGACATTGGAATTGAAAATCAATTTCAGAAAGAGTCATGTGTAGGGCTTTAATGTGTTTGAAAAATGGCTGAAAAGGATGAAGAGGCTATTAGGTTGGTACTTTTTGCACTTGCTATATTTTATATGTCTCGTTTTAGGATTTCTAATTATGTTATTCTTGAATTGGAAAAAATCTAAAGGAGATGTTTTTGGGGAGGGGTAGAGGGCATAAAGAAGATTCCATGGGTGAGTTAGGAACATAATTATCGTAAAGAGGAGTTAGATGGGTTGGGAGTTGCGAATTTGGTTAAAAGGAATTGTGTGTTGCTTGGAAAATGGTGGAATAGGTTGGGATATGAATTGATAGGTCTTTGGAAAATGGTCATTTTGGTGAAATATCATGGAGGGAAGAAGGAGGCAGATATTACTTTTGTTGATACATGTAATGTGTTGAGGGTTTGAAAAGATGTTATTACTAGGTTAAACCCCTAAATTGGTCCCTCAACTATTGTACAAACCCTAAGTTGGTCCTTGAACTAAAAAAATCCTCTATTTAGTCTATAAAGTTTCTAAATTTGACTACAAGTTGGTTCCTCCATTAAAAACCAATTGACATGTCTTGTTACTAATGTCACAAATGGTCATCAAGTAACAAATACGTTAGCTATTTTTTAACGAAAGGCCTAACTTGGAGTTAAATTTAGAAACTTTAAGTACCAAATTAAGGATTTTTTTAGTTTAAAGATCAACTCAAGGGTCAATACAATCCCTGGGGGACTAAATTGAGGGTTTAACCTTATTGCTATTGGTAGAAGTCCAAGAGGTTGGGAAAGTATGTTAGTTAGAGGTTTTAATTGGGTGGTGGGTGAGGGGGAGAGAATTTTATTTTGGTTGGACAAATGGGTTTGGACTAGGCCATTAAGAAGCTTGTTTCTTAGGTTATTTGCTTTATCATGTCAGAAAAAGGGATAGGTGCAAGAGATGGGTGAATGGGAGGGAGGTGTTTGGAGTTGGAAGCTTGTATGGAGGAGGGAGCAAATGGGTAGGGAGGTGAATGAAGAAGTAGAGTTGATGAGGATGCTAGATAATGTGAAGTTAAAAGTGGGAGAGGTAAATTCATGTAGGTGGAAGCATGATGCAGGGGGGTCTTTACTCAATTTAACAAGCATATAGTATAATATCTTCTAAGGTGCATTTACTTGATGAATATTTGTGTAAATTGATTCGGTGTAATTATGTACCATCGAAGGTTAGCATATTTGGGTGGAGACATTTCCTTGATAGATTGGCTACTAGGGTTGTTTGTGTCTAATCCAAACTAATTGATTCAATCGAAACTAATCCAATCCAATTAAAATCCAATCCAAACCAACATCAATTTGGATTGTATTGGATTATAAATTTTTAAACCAATATAAATTATTTAGTTTGTAATTTTATCTTCAAACCGATCAAATCACCTAATTACAAAATAACTTAATTAAATAATATAATATTTTCACTTTTGTATATTTTTAGTAAATATATTTTTAGATATTTGTTTGGTAAAATAAAAATATAATGAATTTTTAAACTTTTTATTTTTGTATACAAATTGTGTTTTAAATTTTCATTTCTTGTTTTACTTTTTTTTTTTTTATATTTTTTTAGTATAATATTTTTATAGTTGTAATATAATATTAGTTGTATTGACTATTGTTTTATTTTATCTTTATACTATAATTTTACAACATAATTTAATTAAAAAATAGTCATGTAGTCTCCTATACAAACAAAATTTCTACTCGTAGAACTCTCTACTTTCTTGAACAATAATAGTGGGAGTTTACATATCGTGGTTATCTTTTTAGTTTTCACTTTTTTTAATGTTGTCGTCTTCTTATTTCTTATTTCAATCTGGTAGCTAGTACCATCATTTTGTTCTTTATAATGTTATTTTGCTTTGTAATTTTGTTTTCTATGGTTTGATATTTTGATTTTTTACTTACTCAAATATATTTAAAATAATATTAAAATTAATCAGTCTAACCTAATCACATTAATCCTATCTAAGTTGAATTAGTTTAGTTATAGTATAATAATAAATTAAGTTAATTTAAAAATTTTACTAACGGATTAAATTGATTTGATTTTAAAAATATTAAAATTCGATCCAATCTACATTGTAAACACCCCTATTGGCTACATAAGAAAATTTGGTTGCGTTACATGATAGGAATGTGGGTTGTGGGTTGTGTGTTGTGTGAACAATAGAGGGAGGGGATTAATCATTTATTTTGTTCTTGTAGATGGAGTTGGTTGGTTTGGATGCAGATTATGAACTGGTGGGAAGTGGTGAGCGTGCTGCCGGGTACTGTAAGCAAGATGGTTGTTTATATCTTTCATATAGGGATGGGGGGAGGGATGGGGATAGCAGATTTCAATTTTTGGGTGGTGGAATGATATATTTGGAGTTGGAGGATTAGAAGGATTTTTAAGGGTAGATGGAATTGAGGGATCAACTATTGGTATCGATTCAACGAAAAATCTTCAAGTGGATTATACCAGGTTGTTCTTGCGGTATTCAAGACATAATGCAGCCAGTGGCGGAGGGGGTAGCCCCCTGAAATTTCAAAATCTTTATAAATTAGTGTATAAAAAATTATCTTACTCCTCTTGCAATTTAAAAATTTTATAAATTAATATATAAAAAATTATCTCATCTCCCTTAAAAAAATATTCTAGTTCCGCCCCTGAATGCAGCATATAGAGGTTTTGAAATTTTACCATTGCAACTGCAAGAATTTAATATGATTTTGTAATGATGTTGTTTTTGTTCGGTTGGATTTAGTGTGTCGTATTTGATTTGTGAATGAAAGTACTCTTTATACTTTATAAATATTAATAAAATGCATTTTATTGACTGGTTAATTAAAAAAAAAGAAATTAATTTAACCTGATTTTGTGGGTTAAGTAGTTTTGACCACTTTTGTAAGGTTTATATTCCCTTCCTTAATGGTAACGGGTTCGAGTCGACTTCATAATAAAATGTAAAAAAAAAAAAAAAAAATTAATTTCATATATCCCCAAAAAAAATTATTCGGACACGATAAAAAAATCAATAAATACAAGTAAAGTCTGGCCGAAATTTGTCTCAAAATTAAGATGGTGAAGTTGTCTGCGAGCAGGGAGGAGAAGAAATGGGAAACCGAAGACTTCAAAAAGTCGACGGGCGATGTTATTCACACTTTAACTTTATAGTGTTAATTTTATTTTTATTTTTTTTTACCATTTCGCTGCCTAAATAGGTGGGAATGGTGTTTTCAAAACCCTTTTACAGGGACATAAAAGTAAAAGTACACTGAAATTCACATTTTTTTATTAAAAAATAAAATTAAATGACATATAAATTAATATAGAGTAATATAAATTAAGAGTTATAAAAAGATTATATTATATTATACAACTTAAAATTAAAAAAACAAAATAAAATGACATTTACATTTACATTTTATGGTGTATCGGTAATAACCCACAAGGACGTTTTAATAGCAGGGTGGACTAACTAACTTTAATTTTTTTTCCCTTGAAACAACTGGAATTAGGGGGAGGGGGATGTCATCACCTTTGTCTCCAACTCAGAGCATACAAAATTTCTCAAGTCTTAAAGCTTGGGCGGTGAATCATTAGGTCATAAGCCCCGTTCAACCAATTAGAACTTGGAAATAAAAAACACGTAAATAGGTCGGCTGAAACCGTGGGAAGACCCATAATTCGCTTCCTATTTCGTCCGCCATACATCATTTTATAAAATCCAAATTAAATTTATTGATAAATAATTATTATTTTATTAAATAAGTTTAGAATTTAAATTTTAAAATTAATATTTAAAAAATTAATTTTTTAAATATATTAAATTAGTATAAAAATGATTTTTAGTATTATTTAATAAATTAATTAATTTAAAATATCTAAAAATTAAATTAAAAGTAACATAACTATAAATATTAAAATATACATCATTTTTTATAATAAATATCCATAAAGTCACATGGTGTATTGTATATTGATTTCTTTATTAGCAAACTAAATTATAATTATTGTTACAATCATTGATATATATCTTATCAGGTTGTCACTCGTCAGCATAAAATTATCTGTTCTTGAATGAAATATATATAATGCGATTTTGAAGTCCCTACAAATGTAAATTCATAATTAAAAACAGCGAAAAGTCCAGGGCCTAAAATAAAATAAAATAAAGGAACTGTGATACATATACATGACATATCCCATCGGATTGATTTTCTTAAAGAATGTCAATGGTTTAGTTAGGAATTTTTTTTTTAATTGAAAAACAGGAAACTTATGCGTCAGGAAAACACTTTCAAAAGATTTAAATTAAAAATCTTGTGAGTATATTTAATTTTAAAAAATAAATAAATTATTTACTTAATTATGTAAATTATAATATTTTTAAATATTATAATTTAATTAATTAAAAAAATTCAATTCTTTATTCTCTTCCCTTGGAACGAACATACACTGTAAGATTTAGTGCACCCTGCTAACGTAGCAATGTTCATCATGTGCCACCAACCGCGCCTATCTTTATTAGTTGTAACTTTTCTAAGAAAAGTCTCTCTGCACTCGTTATGAACCACACAGCTTACTCCCACCAATTTAGACATTTGCACCACAATTTTGAAACAAATGAGCACTCCAAGAACAAATGATTTGAATCTTCAAGTACAACCCCACAAAAACCACACAAGGTTACTGAGTCATCCTCTAGAATGTCCTTTCTCTGCAAATTTGTTTTAGTTGAAACCCTGTTCAGCAATAACATCCAGTCAAAGATGTATACCTTGTTTGGAGGTGCTCTTGTATTAATATATTAGAAAGAATTGTTTGACTATTGTAAATTTATACCTTTGAAATTAAGATGTTTATAGGTTTATGGTATCTCTTGTACTCAACTTTTTAATAGATGTTATTTTTTGTTGTTAAAAAAAAAAAAGATAGACATATAAAAAAATAAAAAATAAAATATTTTTCTAAGGTTGACTATGGAGTGTTTGGTGGGTCGGGTTACGACCAAGATTGGCGACCCCTTACTAACCGCAATGTTGCCCTAATTTTTTTTTTGTGTAAAAAATTTAACAACATTAAAAATTAAATATGATTTTATTTTTTATCTTTGCTACCCAGATACTTTTTTTTTTTTGAAACGAATATCATATTTATTAAGAATATAAAAAATACTTCAACTTATGCATATTATTTTTTATTTTGGTTATTAGTTAAAAAATGATACGATAAGCGGGGGAAAAAAAGGTAGCTAAGAAGATCAAAACAACAAAAGAAATAGAGAAGGCCAACCCAACATCTTAAAGGCGGAATGCCCAAATACATTCCCAAAATTAGGTAGTAGAAAAAAAATCTATTTTTAAGTAAGTAATAAAGATAAATTTACTTATAAAATTTTTAATTTGAATAAATTAATTTAAATTTAACTTATGACATCCAATAATATTAGTAATATGTTATTTTATTACGTTGTTAATAAATTAATTTTTAATAAATTATTGATATTATCTAACGTCATATATTAAATTTAAAATGATTCATCTAAATTAAAAATTTTATAAATACATTTATCTCATTTTTTATTCAAAAATAAATCCTTCCCTAATGTTTAAGTTTAGGGATGTATTTGGGCAATCTGTGAAGCTGAAATTTCCCGTCAAAAAACTGGTACCATTTATGGATCGGCCCAACCGAGGCTTTCTTCACTGCATCAACCAAGGCTTTTTCTTTAGTGTTCGCTGTACTACAATAAAAGACCACTGTGATTTTATTGATCAAATTCCAGACTTTAAAATACCAGCACTAAAATAACGTTCTAATTACTAAAAACATAGTAGTTCATTGAACCCAATAGGCCAAATGATTTACTACCAAGCTTAAGAGTTTAAGTGATTAAAAGTTCTACTCATACCAATTACCTATAAACTTAATTCCTCTCCAAATTAATTTCCCATATTCAAATAAGAAAAACATAGTTCATCAGTCCACTTTAAACTTTAATCTCTGCAAAATCAAGGGACTTTTTGCCATCATGCACGTTTCCAAAAAAATTCTTCATGTAATCTGCAAACACAACTTCTCGGTATCGAGCCACTCCGTCCTTCTCTATCATTTCAGGCAACGGTGCAATTTTCTCCGTTGGTTTTGGCATCGTAAATACTGGTACGGATACCCTTGAACTCGCGCTCGTGGTTCGAACCCTATGCTCTGCACTTTTGTACTTCCCATTGCTCAGTATCTGAAATACAATTTCAACATTATATTGTAAGAAACAAATTAATTAGGAACATGCATACTTTAGTTAATTTATTCAAAAATAAAAATTTTTAAATCATAAATATAAAATGAGAATTTTGATTTGAACCTGCAATGTGTCACCGATGTTGATGACTAAAGCCCCGGCGAGAGGAGGAATCTCCACCCACTCTCCCTTGGTAGCGAAATCTACATCTTCTTCAACTTTGACATATAAGCCACCGATCCCATCTTGTAGTAACACAGTAAGTGATCCCAAGTCAGAATGACGTCCTACGCCGATTGTGAGTTCCGGATTAGGACATGCTGGATAAAAGTTCATATTAACCATTTTGGAGCCAATTAATGCATCAATCATTGAATCATCTAGTTTCGCTCCAAGATGTCCGATCAAAATTTCCATTAATTTCCTAACCATATTTGTGGATGACTGGACATACTCAAGTGACACATTCCTGAAAATGAAATTATAAGAATAGAGCTATTTAGTCAATTATTATAACTGAACATGGAAAATCTGGTCATGATGCTATGATTGGTGGGGAATCCAATAAGTGGCTTCACTATCCGGGGGAGGAAAGCAACTTGAAAAATTATTGATTTGGTTTACAGTTTTATGGTCCATTCGTATGTGGAGGAATTAAAAAGTTTTCAAATGGGAAGTTGATATATAATCAAGAAATGATTTTGAACAGGGATAGGTAAAATAGAAGGACTGGTTGCAACTTGATGCCAACCACTTTTAAGAGAGCAAGTCGCAAAAAGCCACTGCCTTGTCCATGGCATCATTGGGGTGTAGGGTTCAAGCTCCAACCCTTCATTGTAACAAGTCCCCAGCTCCCCTATCCCCATAGTTAAAATAATATATAATAATAACAATAATAATTCTGCTTAAAGGAAGTTCGGTGAAATAGATGTAATGGGCCATAATAATTCTGTTTGAAAAGTTATTTTCTTTTAGTCAATATGAGTATTCAAATTTTTTATTCAACTAATGTCATAAATACTTACAAATTACTTTGTTTATAAGTATTTTTTTTAGATAATATGAGTATTTAAACTTTTGATCTTACTAATTTCTTAAATACTTACAAATTACTCTATCCATGAGTACCTAAATAGCTTTGAAGTAATTCGAACTCGCATCACTTGAGTCCATCCAAATAAATTCTGACTCTAGGTTGTAATGTGAATTGTTAAGTAATGTGAATTGTCAGGTTGTGTCTATGTTGTGGCTCCTCCCAAAACGAAGGATTTCAACTCTTGGATATTTTTGGTGAGCAGTAACTGAGATGGGTAGGATATATGGTAGTTTTAGAAAATGTTTTGTGCAACTCGGACTGCACAAAATTAACTATTAAATGGGATAACGCTTTGAATGTAAGGGTAGGCTCTTCCCATCTAATAATTGTAATTTTGCAGTCTGACCATTTTGTAATACTTTTCTGTTGGTTGGAGGAAAAAAAAAAAACCGAAATTGATATATCTTACCTGCATTCTTTGGGCCAATATTGAAGAGCGTCAGCATCATTAGTATACTTCATGCTAATGTAATCCTTCCACTCCAAGGCCTTTTCTTTCTCTGGTGCGAAGCTGGTTCCATACGTTACCAGCGGACTCGGACTCACATCTTTCCGATAAATTCCCTTCTTCTCCGGGGGCTGTCCAAAGAAACCATGTGCTGACTCCTTCAGCGACTCCAACAACTCCAACGGCACGCCATGGTTCACAACTTGGAAGAACCCAAGTGTCTCAGCAGCTCTAACAATCTGCTGGGCCACTCGGTCACGGTCAGGTCCATCCAGCATGGACAGATCAATAGGCGGCTGCTCGTGGCGGTGGGCGTCCAGCTTGTGAATACGCTCTTCTGGTGGCTGGACGTAGGCCTGCGGCACCTGCTTGAGGCCCAAGTCCACCATGCCTTTTATACCGTTGCCTCCATGGACGACAAAGTTGAAAAGGGAGCTAGCATCATCAAAACTTGGAGCCATTTTTTTATGTATATATGAGGGATTTCAATGTATAAAAATTAACATATAGTTGTGAGGATATGCATATATTTAGAGGAGGGACAGCTCAATATATATATACCAACGACCCTTCCTCAGGGGTGACGAGGGATTCAAACAATATGATGACTATTATTCTTATATAATTTTATGATACGTAATATCAAAAGAAAAATATCAACAATTGAAGTTTTTCCATTTCACTTTTCAGTGCAGTCGATGAGGCAGGTTGACCAGGGTACGATTTAGTGCGCAGGGTAAGACTCCTGAAAGCAACGGCTAAAATCAATTTTTTATCCTCTCACCTAACAAAATAAGTAGGTTTTACCTCTAATCTTATAATATAACACTTTTTATTTTTTACTTTATAAAATTGATAAGTTTTAGTCTCTTACCTTACAAAGTTGGTAAATTTTAACCCATCACTTTATATTATGATACTTTTAGCCATTTATCTATATGAATTGAAGAAAATAATCTTTATTTAATATCAAGTTATAATATTCTGTTCGTTCTGTTAGTTAATTGTAAGTTTTGTTAACTGACAATTTATTCTGTTAGCTGACTGTTAGTATCCATTAGCATTCCGTTAATGGAATTAATATATAAAATTGAATTTAAACTTTATATTTTTTTTTACGGAATTGTTACCGGTTTTTACCGTTCGTTTACCGGACTTACCAGATTTTTTTACTTTATTTTTGGTTGGGGTTTCTTTTTTTCCTTTGTTTTTTTTGAGGGGCTAAAAATGTCATAATATAAGATAAGGGGTTAAAACCTATCAACTTTGTAAGGTGAGAGATTAAAACCTACCAATTTTGTAAGGTAAAAGGCCTAAAGTGTCATGTTATAAGATGTGGGGTTAAAACCTATTAATTGTGTAAGGTGAGGGGCTAATGTTGTTTTTGCTTGAAAGCAACAAGGTTTGTTTCCAATTCATCCGAAATATACGGAAGTGTATTCAAGCTTTGTTTAAATTATGATATCACTTTACGTTTTTGAGATAATATAACGATTTAATAAAATTGTCACTTACGATGTAAATAATTGATTTTTAAAAAATTATATAATAAAAAATATATATATTTTTAGTTTTTAATTTACTCCACCCATATATATATACATGGATTTAGGTTGTTGGCATAAAGTAAACAAACGATAATCACGCTAATAAAGGTCATTTGCTTATAACCAGGGGCAAGGCAGCAGCCAAATAAATTTTCACGTTACATGACCCTAATATGAACCTAATATGAACAAGGTTCCAAACTTCCAATATACAACTTATAGGCAGGGGGCAGGGTCAGCGGATGCAGACCTGGCCCGATCAAAAAGTTAGGGAGATAATTTTCTCTTTCCAAGAAATCATCTCTTTTAATTAGCAAAGAAAATATTGTTTAAGTTTAAACCCCAAATTTTAATTTCAAAATTAAATTTTTTTTAAAATAATAGGTACTTTTTACTTAGTAAAGGCAATTGTTAAATAGTAGGTTTTTTTTTTTTTTTGTTGGTTTTCCAAATAGTAGGTACTCTAGCTTTACTGAGTTCTTAATTGAGAATGTCTTTTAATTTCCTTTTCTATGATACATCTATTTGATTATAGTATTTTGAACATGGATGATTTATTTTTAATTTAATTACACTTTTATTAGTTATTAATTTAATTTTAATTACATGTTAATTTTTCGCAATATCAATCAAAGTATCTGTTCAACTTTCAAATCCAGTGTTACGTAAAAACTTTGAATCTTGAGAATTTCATTCATGACTTCAACTTCACTTACCACCTAAATCTTCCTTTCACTTTCAAGTTTCAAGTCTTCAATGTCCTTTTTCCCGAAATCCGGCTGAAAGCATTACCGTGAGGGTCAATTTTGGCGACAACAAGTGTCTTATTGTCATGAAATCTATTTTCTTTCAGTGTATGGGCCTCAGAATCATAGACACGTGAATAAATTGTTTTTTATTAAACAATTTAAAACAAATAAATAAATAAATAACAGAATAAATTTTTTAAAACCTTTACTCTAAACCTTCGGAAATCTTTATTCCTATTTAATTTGAAATTGAATGTAATTATTATGTCCGGCACCAAGTGACTTATTGATCATTCCTACGAACGACAGTACCTAATTAGATATTCAAATTTTAGATTCTAACTCAAGTAACTATCTTTTTTTCTCAATTTTCCCGGTGTCAAAAAAAAATTTTGGATGTAATCATTTACGAATTATTCTTTAATTTGCACCACATCAACTAAAAGAAATTTTATGTTTAAATTATACAAAATACAGTTTGAGCAAAAGAGTGAGAAACAATTGCTTAAAATTAAAAGAAGGAGAAGAAGTCGTATATGACTGCCTAATTTCAACTCCATTTCATTATCAGTTCGCACATGGGTGGAAGAAGTGTAAATGAAAGAGGAATAATGGGCATATAATTACACTGAAAGTGATCCTTACCTTACCAAAAATTGGGAAATTTCCCTCGTGGACGACAAAATGTCATATTCAAATTTTTTATTGATAAATATTAATTCAATTTGAATGATAGGGGTGGGCAAATGGCTAGTTAACCGAGTGGTTAACTGAAAAATAATTAAAAAATAACTAAATGGTAAGATGAAATTTTTTTTAAAAGTTTTGATTATAATTGAATAAACTTGGCTGATTATTGATTAGAGAGTTTGAAAATCAAAAACTTTCTACCAAAAAAAAATATCAAAAACTGAATATATAACCAAAAAATAAATTTTTATATTAATAAATAAATAAATTTTATTTGAATATTCTAAATAAATATAAAATTCATCATATTCAAACTCTTTTTCAAGTACCCTATAAATTTTGTTATAATTTAAGCTTTGAATTTAAAATATATTTAAAATTTTTTTAAAATTCAAGATTTCATATCTTACTGTCATTTATTTACCATTTCTTAATATAATTTTTACATTTGATAATAATTGGTTAAAACCGAAACCAAACTTATAATAATAAAAAAATTGGATAACCAAACCCAAAAATTATATGTATTTTGATATTGGTTTTAGTCTTAAAAATTCTAATAAAAGTTTTAATTAATAAAATTTTAGTTTTTATTGAAACCAAAACCAAGATTTGCCCACCCCTATATATGAATTGGTTTGGTTTATGCCGAAGCACAGATTAAAGGAAAGGACTTTTTTATTGGTGAATGTCAAATTAAGCAATCATGGTGTCGTTTAGTTCTACAACAATGAAAACAAAAGTCTAACTTTGTTTGCGAACCGACCTGAGGCCGAATGGTTTGCCCCAAGTCTTAAGACTCGGGTGAAATAGAGATCAGGGTTTCGAGTTCTGCTATCATCGTGAATTTCATCGATTTGAGACCTAATGGCCACGTGTCTCATTTGAGGGGTGAAATATTCACCATTTTGGAAATCCCAATTGCTAACAACTAACTTATACTAACTCCCTAACCATTACCCTTGTAAAAAAAAAAAAAAATCTAATTTTGTTTCAAAGCCCAAATAAAATCTACAGTAATTAAATTTGTAATTAAGTTGGATAATAATTAGTACACTTTTTAATTTAATGAATTTTATAATATATTTATTAAAAAATTATTATTTTTAAATTTAAATTCAACATTAAAAAATTTCAACAATAAAATTTAATAACTAAACCAATAAATATTAACAAATATATTAAACTGAAAAATATATCAATTATTTTTTAGTTAACTTTTTATATTGTTTGGTTTTGGTTGTGTGAACCATTTTAGCACTTCTAGCTTGGAGGGTTAGTAGTGTCATGACAGACTCCTAGCTGATACGTATAGAGGTCTCCTGGTCCTGAACAATTAGGATTTGTCTTATTGGTTATTGGCCGGTGCTTTAAATTAGAATAGGATGGTAACCCCATTGGAATATCTTTAAGATGTAAAATATGACCTAGATCTTTGCTAAGCTTAATTAGCTCGTATTTTAGTATAGGTTTATCTGATCTTAAATTTATTTGTGTTTATAGTCATAAATTTAAGACTTAATTCTTAATTTTTACATATCAAAAAGTTTTTTTTAATATAGGCTTTGTGAGCCAATTTTGCATTAATAAATGATTACTGATTTTTCATAACAAAACTTCAATGAGAATATGTAATCAGATGTATCTTTTTTTTTTTTTATCAACTAAATATAAAATTTTATTATATAAAGTACAAAAAAAAAAAACCTAATTTATACAACCTAAAAAGTTAAAAAGACTCACAAACAAAATATATACAACGAAACCTTAGCAAAAATCAACGACCTCGACCATACGCAGCTTTTAAATCAAAAGCATTACACGTTTGACTTCGTCAACAATTGTCTATATTTTCCGATGGCTCCGAGCACAATCCCAAGGATACAAACAGCATTCATGAAATGAAAAAAGTTGGCCCATACACTCACACTTTAGCCACAGAAAGAAAATTTAATCTACGTTTATATAAAAAAAAAAATAAGATAACTAAATTAAAATAATCAAATTTAATAAATAAAATAATTAAAAATAAACGAAAAGAGTACGTAATTACTAAAAAAAAAAAATTCAAACCAATTTGTAAGTTTTCTTTATTACTTTTTTTTTATAGTAAATGTTCTTATTGGAGCCTGCCACTTTTGGTCAACTGAGAAAAACAAAAGACTAGTTGGACAAGTTGAAAGAGAGGCAATGAGAACGTAGAAAAGCAAAAGCCTCCTTGACTTTTTCCTCTGACTTGAACATTTCAGTTTTTACGGGCGGGGTCGATACGGTACTCAATATTAAAATATAAAAACTCGGAAAACATTTTCCACAAACCTGGAAAGCATGTTCCACAAATCTGGAAAACATCTTCCACCACCACCCGACCAATAAAGTTTTTTTTTTTAAGTAATTAAGTACTATTAATGAAGAGTTTGGCATGTGGTAATGAAGAAATTATCAAACTCATTGATAAAAAAAAAAAATCTGGAACTTGAAGTTTTAAATTCAAGTCTTATTATGTGCAAATTTAATTCAATTTACATAAAATTATAATT